GGGATGCTGGTACAACGATGTGGAGTCAAAATTTGAAGTGTAAATATGGTTTAAATGTGTAAACAGACCAGCCGCGATTTTGCTAACTAAAAACAAGGAGGTGAATGGGGTCATTTTAGTTACTACTTTTCTGAGGGCTGGCGATCTCTCACAATGTATTTAATCTATAAACAGACTACCTGATTATCTTCCTTAGACCCTGTAGATGTAGTTACTACAGTTTGGAGTCGAAATTCGAAGTATAAATATGGTTTAAATGTGTAAACAGGACGCCTGACGTCCACGTTCAATATTAGCATAAGCTAACCAGAGAGTGCCGGCAGAACGTAATAAAACATTAACTCCATTCAGTACATCGTAACAGTACAGTGGGGTCGCTGTGTTATATCAGTACATTAATATTCTATTTATTTTGGTTTTACTCACTCTCTCAGATCTCACTGCTCTCTCAAATACACACGGGGATTTCTGTCCGTCGCATACGGCAGCCGGTGAGGATAAGAGGTGGGCGTTAACGTCTAACGCTCGACTAACGCTCGACAATCCGAGCTGCTGATTGGCCCAGAGCTGACAACGCTCGACTACGCTCGACAGCACTGGCTGCTGATTGGCCCAGAGCTGACAACGCTCGACTAACGCTCGACAGCACTGGCTGCTGCTCATTGGCTGGCATACAGAGACCATTGCTGGTCATATTGCGCGAAGAGGAGTTCGAGAGAGCAAGGGAGCGGTTCTTCTCTCCCGGCCCCCCGACGGCCGCATTTGGCGGGGCTCGTGTGATAAAAAGCAGCCCCAAAGAGCCTCTCCTTCTATTTCTCCCGATTATAACGCCAAAGAATTGGAACGATCCCCCCTTTCCCCCTCCTTCTCTCAACATGTGTCAGTCAAAAGCTGTTGTCCTACGTCATCCCGAGCACATGGCTACTTATCATACGGCGGCGACACGGAGAATTAAAGGCCCTGCACGCATTTAAAGCGACTAGACCTGTTTGGTTAAATGTACATTAATATTTGAATGGCTCCAGGTTTGTTTGGTTAAATGTACATTAATATTTGAATGGTTTTGGCCTCATGAATGGCTCCAGGTTTAAAAAGTTATGTTAAAAAATATTTAAATAGAGAAGACAAGGATTTAATCAATTAAATGTTTATTAGAAAGGGTCAAAATGTATAACATAAGCTGGGAAATTGCAGTGTAGCAGCAGCATTACACACAGTAACAACAAACAAACACACACACACACACACACACACACAAATCAAAAAAAGCAATATAGAATGCAATATAAAATATGTATAAATAACCAGTATAATGCAGTCCAAAGTAAAAATAAAAAATATAAGGTGCAATGAACAGATGAAACATATAAGGTGCTTGGATAATACAGTACAGTTGGATAATTTTAATGTTTTTGTGACCTCTTCTCAGCCAGCCACAGCTCCACAGTCTTCCCTTCATAAAGAGCACAGAAGTGCTCTCCCCCATATTGGCTGTGGCCAAAGTCTTTCTGCTGTGGCTGGCCACAGAGCTGGCAGATCCTCAGTTTGTGGGGCTTCCTCACTTCCCCCCCCCGGTTTCTCTGGTTTCTCATACTTCCGTTTGAGGTTCCAGGCTGTTGTTCTGGGGAGCTTATGCAGCTCACCAGGGCCAAGCTGTTCCCTGGTCCACTCTTGCACTGTGCGTCCTCCAGGGCCCTCTTTCACAGCACAAAAGTATTGGCCCTTGAAGTACGCGTGGCCACCATCCACCGTGCATGCTTGGTCACAGATGTAGCAGGGGTCCCCAGGCTTGTGCTGTGGCTTTCCCCTGCTACTTTGGAGGACTTTTTTGTCTTTTGCCGCTTTAATTTTGCGCCTGTACAGAGTGCAACAGGTGGGCTTGCTGGTCCCCGCCACTGGCTCTGCTGCCTGAAGCTGTCGAGGAGAGGAGCTGGAGGAGGAGGATGACGAGGAGGATGAGGAGGCTGAGGAGGAGGAGGATGAGGAGGATGAGGAGGAGGTGCAGTCGTAGTCCCCTAAAATATAAAATACAATACAGAACTCTGTTAGTCAAGGTACATAGAAACACATATGTAGTTTTAAAAAGTGTATTTCTAACAAACCTAATGAAGTGACATGTCTGGTTTTTCGCTTTGCTTTTCTGCCTTCCATTCTGTCCAAATAAAATGCTTGAATGAATTGACTGTCTGTTTTTTGCCTTCTTTTTGAAACCCCTCTTGGGGAGACACACCTACCAGTCCGGCCCTCTCTCAGTCCGGTCAAACCCCCAAGTTCTCGCAGGAGGTAAGAGCCCCCCTGTTGTTTTAATCAGGAAGCCAGGAGGTGAGAAGTGAAGGCCCCTCGGCACCCCCTGTTGTTTTACAATGTCCACTTGTAAAAGGCCAATTCTCACCTAGTCTCTAAGTAAGCCTTTGAACCTGACCTGGTTTGACCCCTTGACCCTACTTTCAAGTGAGGAGAGGGAATGATGTATTGTGACTGTAACTTGTGGGGATTTACTGATATCAGGCACCTATTCTAGATACCTAGTCTTCCCTATATTTATTTAATTTCTTAAAGGCAGAAAGAAGCAGGAGAAAGCATTGGTTTCAAAAAAGAAAAGTTTATTTAAACTAAAACAATTAAGACAACTATATACAACTATATAGATATTGGAATTTGCCCATTGTGGGACAAATAAAGGTATAACTTATATATGACAACTATATACATAATATTAATTTAACAAACACAACTGACTAACTAAATACATACACACATATACACAATATTTACAAATCCCTCCCTGCCAAACACACACACACACAAACAAAGTGTTCGCTCAGGGAGGGGGAGCTGCCCCATCACACAAACACACACACACACACACACACACACACAGTGTTCGCTCAGGGAGGGGGGGCTGCACCATCACGCCCCTTCACCTCTGCCAGCCACTGCTCCACAGTTCTCCCTTTCCCGTCGGCCCGGGAGCAGAAGGTCTCCGTCTTGTAGCGGCTGTGGCCAAACGCCCGCGTCTTGGGTTGGCCACAGTGCCTGCAATTGAAGTGGGAGACCTTCTTTGCTGGTTTCATATATTCTCCCAGCTCCCGGGCACGACGCTCTTTCTCCTCCTGGAGCTTGCGCCTCCAGGCAGTGTTTCTAGGCACTGGTGGAGCAGTGGCAGCTGTGGCTGTGGAGGGGGTGACACCTGCCTCTGCGCTGGCGGACGGGACAGTGTCCGCGCTGGCACTGGTGGATGGGACGGCGTCCGCGCTGGCACTGGTGGACGGGACGGCGTCCGCGCTGCCACTGGTGGACGGGACAGCGTCCGCGCTGGCACTGGTGGAGGCTTGTGGGGTGGCTGAGGAGGAGGAGGAGGAGGAGGTGGTGGCAGTTGAGGAGCTGGCGACGATGAGGTCGTATAGCTCCGGGGCCAGCGGCCCTCTGATGGTGGCAGCCAGACCGGAAGCGTCCGCAGGCAGGCGGTGCTGGAGGGGCTGGTCTGGCTGATCAGGCTGCTGCCCCACAGTCCGTGGGGCAGGCAGGGGCTCCGCTGCAGTCTGGGAAGCGCTGGGCCCCGGGACTGCAATGGCGATGGTGTCCCTCATCATCGCCTTGCTCCTCTTGGTGTGCCTTAAAAAACAGAATGTAACAAATGCACATTAGTAATCATGACATCACACACACACACACACACACACACACACACACACACTCACACACACACTCACACTGCCACTTCAGATCAGATGTGAGAGAAAGGATCAGGTCTTACCATTGCGTCAGGGTCCGCTGATTGACCTCATACAGCTGGATGCGGGTGCTCGTCATGAGGGCTGCACAACTATAAACATTCTCTCGAATTGTTTGATAGTCCCTCATGACGGCACTCCAGCGATGAAGGCGGACCCCGGCAATCGTCCTCTCCTCGCCGCAGTGGAGGATGCTGAGGTCCAGCAGGACAGCCTCCACAAGCCTTGACACATCGGGAGACTGCGCCGCTCCCGCCCCCTTGCCCAGGACCGCACTACATTGACACACACAGAGAGAGAGAGAGAGAGAGAGAGTGAGTTAGTTTGTGACTGACAGCACAGAACAAGAACTAAACAAAGCTTGGAAATTTATTGTGACTGCTTACCGCTTCACACTATCCACCCCTGGCGTGTGAGCGTGCCGCTGGCTGGTCCTGAATCGGCCCTGGACGAGCCGGTCCTGGTGACGGGGGGGGAATTTGACCGCCGCCTTGTCCCAGTCACTCAACTTCAGCCAGAGAGCGGTAACCTCTCTGGCTTGCCTGGGAGTGACGTAGCGGCGGTGGCGCAGTTCCACCAGGGCCTGGGCCAGGGCCACAACGGGCTGGTAGCCGCTGCGACCGTCTGGCCCGATAACCTCCTCCTCCTCAGCCTGCTGCACCTCCATTTGGTCCAAGCGGGGGGGGCGGGTGAGGTTTGAGGACTGAAGGAGAGCACTGTGGTGTTCGAGGAGACAAATCTCCTCTGGCTCCTCTTCCTCCTCCTCCTCCTCCTCCTCCTCCTCCCCGAACCCTTCATCACTGCCCCCCCCCGCTTCCTCCTCATCAGTCCCTGGAGTGTCAGGATCACCGAGGTCCTGCTGCAGCACAGCACCCGTCTGGGAGAACAGGTACTCCACCCCAATGAGTTCCCCTGTGGGCACACACACACACACACAAACACAGATGTTAAATGACAGACACCTAAGACAGGTGTTAAACGTTACCGTTACCTCAGACAGATTTATGACTTACCTGTGTACTCCCTGGGCATGGTGTACATGTCGAGCAGCGTGCGCCCAAGAAGCTCTTGGGTCAGCTGGTCGAAGCTGTGCTGCAGCTGGGCACTGTAGCAACGCAGCGGCGACCTCTGTCCTCCCTCGACTGCCGCCCTGCCTCGATTCTCGTTCCACCGCACCAGGCCCTCCAGCAGGTACACCTGGAAGTGTACATCACTTGCAGATTGTCCTAAGCAGAAACAGAGCAACACAGTTAGTGTGAGGACAAATAAACACACAAATACATAATTGAGTCTGTGTTGTAAACCACACATGTACTTACCTGGGATGAAGCGGCACAGGTGCAGGTGGAACGATTCCAGGGAAGTGGAGCCTCGGCCGCACCGGTAGACGGGGAGCCTCACCCCGCCTTTGGTGAGCTCTCCCGTCTTGGTGTAGAGGTCCACTCCCGCAGGGTCCTGAATGCAGTCGAGGTGTCGGCGCTGCGTGCTCCAGATCTCCTCCATTCGGGCGCGGTCGATCAAAGGGACGCCCATGCTGTCCGTCACGTGCCAGAAGGTGTCCAGCACCTCTTGGACCAGCCGCTCCGTCTCCACTGCACCCCTGGTGCGGCGCCCGGCAGTGACGGACGAGCTCCTTGGCGGACAGCTTGACCTCCTGGGCGTCCCTCCCCTCCTCGGACTGCTTGGCTCCCTCTCAGGCGGGACACGTCTTCGGCGTCCCACTCAAAAATGGCGAAGGAGAGCCTCGCCATGAAGAGGCCGTAGAGCTGGTGGCTGTCGGTGGTCACCCCTCTGGCGAAACGCCGCATGAGGTGCCACACGTCGAGCCTGACGACCAGCTCGTGCCACTCGTGGAACAGCTTGGACGTTTGACACTGTCCCACGGTGGCACAGCAGTCCCGGTCCACGTACAGGACCCTTGGAGGGGCCTTCCCGGCTTCGCGGTACCGCCGCATCAGTCCGGCCGCCATGTCGACAAGTCCGCCCCCCTCAGCTGCGGTGAGGACGGACATGAGCACCTGCCCGTACTAATTGCCGACGTTGGTGACCCAGGCGGCCGTCCCGGCAGCACCGCCCGCAAGCTTTTTGGTGATCTGTGTGACACAGCAACACAACAACATTCAGACACATGACAAAACAAACATTACACTGGGTACACGGCACGCTGTGGTGGATAACAAAACCTACCTTCTTGGTGGAGTCCATCTTCAAAAGATCACCAAAGATGGAAGTGACTCTGGCTCTCGTCTCGTCGAGCCTCGTCAAGGCGTCCCTGACGTAGACGTTGATGAGCCAGAGCACTGTGGGCACCCAAAGACCTCTTAAGATGTCTGATATGATACATCAGGTCACGCACGGATGTGTTGAAAACAGCTACAGATCTGCCAAAACTAGATGCCAGCCCAGTTGCATCACGAGTCCCAGAATCAACTACCACAAAGTACTTATTGTGATGAATAATTGCACTGACTGAACCTTGGAGGTTCAACAAACACATTCCATCACTCAGCAAAGTTTCCTGTAGCTGTTCATACATCACACTGTCGTCATCCAAAAACCCAAAATCTCCGTACACTGGCGAGGCAACGTCTACCTTCCACTTCCTGCCAAACACACTACCCTGTTCAATCAATTTACACAGTTTAATCTCAACACTGTCCTGGCTTCCTTCAGCAACTAAACTGGCCAACTTGCTGCCTTCTGCACAGATATCATCAATATCTTTCCCTCGCCATGTACAAACCGGAGCAATTGCATGTTTTATCGCAGCTACAACACTACCCGCTATTGATACATTTACATCCTGAGTTAATGGTGCTGCTCTGAGTTTACCGGAAACTACTGGTGCTATTGGCTCGTTTTCTAAACACCTGCAAGAAATTGGGTTAGCGTCATACTCATCTTTGACAGATCTTGGTGTGCTGACTTCCTCCTCGTCAGCTGTGGCAGGTGATGGGTCTGGGAAGGCATCCACCACGCCTGGTGTCACCGGGGCCTAAAGAAAAACAAAAAGAAAAAACCATGTATTTGTTACTTACATGTTACTTTCAACATACACTTGTGAACCTTAAAGTTGTTTTGTATTTAACTTTAATATATACTGTATCAACAAGAAAACAGCTTTGCATGCACCATTTAAAACACATTTGTGAAATGTGTGATATAACATGCACCAACCTCCTCCTCCTGCGCAGCAGCAACCACTTCCACAGCCGTGGCAGGTGAAGGCTCTGGGGATGTGTCCACCACGCATGGTGTCACCTGAGCCTAAAATAATCAAACAAAAATTAAATATTGTGTATTAACAAAATACAACTTTTTTTTTTTAATTACACACACACACACACACACACACAATAAAACTCAAATGAGGTCTTGTCATTTCAACATGTTCAACTTTGTGCATACTGAAATATCTTTGCATTCTCCATTTAAAACACATGTGTAAATGTATGGTGTAGCATGCACCAACCTCTGCAGCAGCAACCACTTTCACAGGACTGGCAGGTGTGGGACGGGGACACACCTCCACAACACTGGGTGTTGCCTCAACCTGAAAACAACCAACACAAAATGTAACTACAAAAATGAAATGTAAAGTTGCCATGTATTTTCTAATGATCTAAATAACAGACGAAATACAGCAAACACAAAGAAATATTAAATTATTGCTGCCTGTCTGTCAAACTGTACAAACCAGTAAAATATTTAATATAATAAAAAAAAACCTGGTGCTTTGCAGGTCTCCTCTTGCAGGCAACAGCTTTCCGCCTACGTTCCACGACAGGTTTCTAATGTAAAGAAGGAAACCAAATAACCTTTAAAACTATATTTGGGGAAAAGCTCCTTTTGGGCTTAAGCAATTTTTAAAGGGTGTTAATTTCAGAAAGAAGCAGAAACCAACACATACAATCTGAATGCAAATTACCGTTTTGTCATGTGGAACAGCGGTGCACTCAGGGGTAGGAAGATGGGAAGGGACAACAGCATCCATGACAGCCAACATGGAAATGCTGAACCTCACGGGGTTCAGTGGGATGAAGCACTCCTTCAATGCGACAGGAGTGGCAACAAACTAACAAATAAAAATAAAAAACACATAATAAAACAGTATTAGACAATTTCTCTCATCTATAATCAATGGACAAATAACCAATTAACCTATCATAACTATTTATGTAAAAGCATAACAAACCTGCTGTTGAACCTTCATCTTTTTCGGTGCACCAGAGGACTGTGCAGGTTCCTCAGGTACCGGTACGTTCCTCTGTAATGAAAAACAGCAGATATGTTAAAAAGAAGTACCCACTCACCATAACAGAAATAAACTGCTGGGAGAAAATCAGTCTCAACACCAAAATTACAGTGTGCAAATATTACCTTCCTGCCCCTCTCCACAGACGTCCACTCGTAAGGGTTAGAGGGGCGAGGCACGATGACCTCTCCCCTCACAACGACCCTTGGGTGACGTGACGAACAGGCAATGATGTCCTGGGAGCGGCCTGCGGTTTCGGTACAGGCACCTCCAGTGACTCGTAAGCTGCAGCCCACAGCAAACGAGTGAGGACCACCATGCCTTCGCCATCACTCAAGTGAACCTGACCAAAAGTTAGAGTAATACATTTAGTGATCATAAAATGTACTCTCAATTTGCATCTGCTATGAACTGAACTACTGCAATGTGTACATCAAACTTTTCCATTTCCTCACAATATACTCTACTTACACCATCTGGGCTCCACAGGTCCAAGTTGTTCAAAGGGAAGTGGCCAGAAGACGAGAAGTACTTGATACCTTAAATAACAACAAGAAGCTGATTAATTATTTACATACTTAAATACATTATCTTCTTTTTAAATTACAAAATAATGACTATTATGGACAAAATAATAATAATTCAAACATTTTTTCAAAATATATTTTGAAACGTACCCATTCTTGCTGCCACTCGATGGAACTCTTGACGCATGAACTCTTGTAGCTGAGGATCAACAGTCAGACATGGCACAAAGTCCAAGACAAAGACCTGCACAGAACAATTGTTCACTATTAAAGTACTTCTCCTCAAAATATCATAACCTTTAAAATAAATGTACATTATACTGTAATAGCTCATGGAACCAAATTAATCCTAGTACGAAAAGGTGTAATAGTAAATACAATATAATCAATAACCTACATTGGGCCAATGACTGCGGGCACTGTACAGGAGCTTCTGGAAGTCAGCTCCTGCCTCAAGGGGGGTCCGGCTGGCTGTCAGGTTGTTGCTGGGGGCCATGATGCAGACTGCGTCCGGGGTCCGAGGTACGTCAGCGTTGAGTAACTCGGTCCTCAGGTCGGACGCACAGGCCCCCGGTGTGGACATGACACCAAAGGAAAGCATTCCCTCTGGCATCGGCACGATCCCGTCTGCAATGGAGCGCAGATGGGACGCTCCTACAATAAGAACAAACTGGGGAGGGGGCACAGAAGGAATATCATTAGAATGAAAATCACTAATCAATCATCAGAGCAGATATTTTGTTTATAAATTGCGAAATGCATTACCTTCTTATCAGGAGACTCAGCAGGGATGACCAGCTTGTGTTGGCGGGCCGTGACTGAAACTGGCCATTTCCTCACACGATGGCGTGTACCGGTGCCACGGCCTATTATAAAACACAGAAACAAACACCAAAATAAAACTTAATTAACCACTGCAAAATTAGTTATGACACATGCACACCTTACACATATAGGCAGAATAGTTGAATAAATGAAACGTGTACTTACGAGGAACAAAGTCACGACTGGGCCACTTACGGTAACCTTCTCGCGCTCTGCCTCCCTCCTCCCAGCAGCCTCAGAGCGACGAAAGGACTTGCCACGTGGCATCTAAAAGGATGCAAGAATAAATTATAATGAGTTTTAATCACACTCACAAGACACTTTAAGGCAGGGGTGTCAAACTCATTTTGGTTCAGGGGCCACATACAACCCAATTTGACCTTAAGTGAGCTGGACCAGTAAAAGGCATAGTTAATAATAACGCAGGTCTGCAATGGTGAATGAAATGATCCGGATGTAGTAAAACGCACAGACTCAGAGCTTCAGAGGGTTTTAAACCGTTTCAATGTCCTACACAAATATATAAATGTTTAAACTTCAGTCAATATGTACATAATGCACATCATTAGATCATTAGTTATAGAGTCTCCACAATTCAATCGCTCACTTCATTTTACGGAAACTATAAACACCAAAGTAACGTTATAACGTTGATTCATTCGGACTTCACACGGTAAACAACAGAGACGGTAAACAACTCTAAAGCGGGAATAAAGTCTGTACGGTCTGTGTCCGTTCCTCCATTAAGAGTCCATGTATCACTACAAAAGGTTTCATTACATTAATATCATCATGTATAGTCCGTCACTCACGGTCTGTTTACTGTCTGTACGCCGGCCGGATGACGTAAATATGCAGCTGACGTAAAGCGGCGTTCACGTTCACTGTCATGGCTGCGGCGCATATAAACCAGCAGTAGAGCTAAAATGTACCGTAAGTTACTATTACCATACGAAACTGAAGAGAAACAGTACAGTTAGAGAATATTTCCATATGTGCTGAGCAACAGTTTGTGCTAAAGGAAATAAACGCAGGTCCCCAATTCAGTGTTTTAAGCAAATACACGCAGGACAATTATTATAAGTTTTACGGTATTTTATTTACTGTTAGTGCTTTGTTCAGCAATGCATCATATTCATTAACATAATCATACATTATTATCAATAATACAGATTGTAATTGTTAAAATTAAACTCACCGTAGAAGGCAAATCCTCTGCTTCCAAAGTGAATGAATGTGTGTATATGTATAGAGATATATATATTTATATATATCTCTCTCTCTCCAACTCTCTCTCAATAGCTCTCCAACTCTCTCTCAATAGCTCTCAGGGTTTGCGTACACAAAAACAGCTCCGTATCTCTCTCTCTGTTGTTGTGGTAGCAAGAACGACAGTTAGCTTACGGGGAACCTATATAGGCTACTGGCGACATTCGAAAAATTTGGTTCAACCAATCAGAGCGCGGTACAGGAAGGTGGGGTGGATCATTACGATGAACCGTGTTGTACAATAATGTGAAACTGGACATTAATTATCTGATAAAATTGTTTAGTACTATTACAATGTTTTATAATTTTCAGAAATAAATATATATGTGTCTGGTAATTTATTTTAGCTAAAATAAAAGATATAGCCTAAACCCTCAACCCAGCATGAAATGGTTCAGTCCTACCAATGTGCAAACCGTAATTTCTCATAAAAAAAACAAAAAACAACCGGAAATAGAATGTCAAAATAAATGTCGTATTGAATGCTTTCATTATAAATTATGTAATGGATTTTTAAGTAATTTCGTACCATAAACACAAAAGCACTAAACAGTAATATGGTTTAAGTACATTAAATATCATTATTGATAAAATTGCAACCTCCCCATTCACTTACTGATTTGTTTACATTAAATAAACACTATCAAATTAATGACGGCTACAGACACTAATAAATTAAATAATTTTAGCATATTCATATACATTTTCCACTACAAAGTTATATGTGTTGTCAACAACACAAGATTGTATGAAAAACTCTCAATTTTCGTGTGGTAACCTATCAACACATGGCTAATTTTAATATTCAAATGAGCCATGTGTTCACAACAGGTCTCTCACAGTTGCTAGGTTACCACCAGGCTGTCAATCAAGCTCTCAGTGACAGAGAACTTAACCTTACCCTTTATCTATCCAGATAAAAACATTAAGAACAGTTTCTGTATGATGTTTATTAGACCTATGTCATCTGAATTGGAAGGGCACGTTGTCATGAGCTGTATCTTGTATATTTATTATTAGCTATGTGGTATGTGTATGCACCTTTATGTAATCTGGTGGAAAAACATTAAAATATAAAACCGGATACCAAAAAAATATGTTTGCGTGTACCCGTGTATGCAAAGTGTCCTCCTGTTTGATGTGGAGGAAATGGCCACCCTAATCTGGAGTTGTAACAAAAGTAATTATTTGTTTGTAAGTATTTATGATTCTGAAATTGATGACTTAAATATAGATGTTCATTTATACTTCTTCATCCATTCAAACACAGAAATACAGTATTACTGTCCAGCTGTATCTTTACTGCCAACTAAAGCTTGTTTACTAATACTTCAACATATCAGGACATAGGATGTGTTTTCTGTGGTACAACATTTCTGGAAATATGAGGCGAACTTGGAGACATTAGACATTAATCTCCTATTTTATGAAAGTGTTTAATGCTTAATAACCACAGAAACTATTTCAATTTTTTAAATAAATGTATTTATTATTTTTGTTTAATTTGTTGGAGTTTCCTCCTGCTCCTCCTCCTCCTCCTCCTGCTGGCCTGGCTCACCACTGGCCTGCTGCTCCTGCTGGCCTGGCTCACCACTGGCCTGCTGCTCTGCGACTGCACACATGGACACAGATAAAAATAAATCTTAATTTTATCAGTCTTGCGTCCAATCAATAAAAAACACAAATATATTAATTCACTCAAAAAGCAGACTTGTGGTCAGTTGAATGTTAATCTATTATCTATTATCACACAAACACACATTATCTGTAGCATGCAAAACACAAAACACCAACACTTACCGAGAGGAAAGGCCGCGGCCAATTCGAGGTCCTCCTCCAGCTGCTGGGTGGCCTTGTGCAGCTGGGGTTAGGGTTAGGAATAGGGATGAGTGCAACATTAGACATTGGTCTAATCAGCATGTTTCTCCTCACAGGGTTAGGGTTAGGGTTAGGAATAGGGATGAGTGCAACATTAGACATTGGTCTAATGAGCATGTTTCTCCTCACAGGAAGGTTGTGGAGAGTTCAAAGCAGGTTCAATCTGTTCATTTTTTCCTTCCGCTTCTTTGGGTGTCAGTCTCGACTTCCGGTGATAACCGGAAGTGGGCGTAATTCCGGAAATAGAGGTGAAAATCCTTGTATCTCGGCAACCGTAGGTCGTAGAGACTCGGGGACAAGTCCTGCGTGTTCAGAAGGGTCGGATTATGGCAGACGGAGCGCGTTTCCAAGTGTGTGCGACGTTCGGTTACGGAGTTATTCCCGTTTGAGTGTGTCCATTTATTGCCAATGGGGCGACTGGTTGTTGGAAAATTTCAAAGTGTCAGCCCTAGTATGGGATTTTTCAGAAAGTGTTTAGGAGCACGTTTGGGGCCATTTGGAGTGGATTGGGACAGGTTTGTATGTTGACTGTTTTGGAGTGTCTGAGGTGGTTGGTTGTGTGTAGGCAGGTGTGGGAGTGGTTAGGTTCAGGGTAAGGCTACTGGGAAAGGTGTTATTTGGTTAGGGTTAGGATAGAGAAAGTGGATGAGTCTCGGCACCGCGCAGCGGTGTCGAGGCTCCATGCACGGGCCATCCTGCTCCAGATCAGGAAAGCTCTTATTTGAGGTTGAGGCCTTTGGGGTGTAATGTTTCTAATTTCATAATCCAGGTCCTCTCGGCTCGGGTTCTCTGTGTGGCATTCCAGCTAGGGTCCATCTGGATGATCGTGGCCCGGACAGACGACCATCCATGGGCCAGAAAATGGCTGACCAGAGGTGTGTGTGTTTCCCTCCGTCTCTGGATGTTGTACCTGTGCTGGGTGAACCGCTGTAACAGCGTGTTTTTGGTCTCCCCAACATACTGCAAGCCACAAGAGAGACATGAGATGAGGTAAACGCAGTTTTTGGAGTGGGGATTACCACATGCCATGGTCTTATAGACTGTTTTATTAGAGTGGCTGCGTATCCACCTGGCATGTTTGAAAAATTGGCCGTAGCCCCTGGGTGCAGAGGTTGTTAGGGGCTTCATTTTGGCCGAGACCAGGTAATCCTGGAGGTTCTTGTTTTTTCTAAAGGCCGCTATAAACCTGTGGTTGTTCAGGTGTCCTGGCCTAAGGACTTTTTGGTCAAAATTGTGTTTAATTTTCCTACACAGGGTGACCGCTGGCCTGGAATAGGTGGTCACAAAGGGGAGAACCTCTGCCGTGTCTAATGGCCTTGTCTCCAGGAAGGTGCTGAGGGCCTTACGCCGGAAGGAGCGTGAATATCCCCTGGTGGCCAGAGCCCTGAAGAGCGTCTTTGTGGCCGCCATAAAATCACTCTTATGAGTGCATATTCTGTGGAACCGAAGTAATTGGGATTTCAGTATGCCCCTATATGTGTGTTTTGGGTGGTGACTGTTTTTAAAGAGCAGAGCATGGGTGTCTGTTTCCTTGAAGAAGACTTTAATATCTAATTTGTTAGTCTGTTTGAAGTTTGTTCCTTTATAGGTGGTGGTGTCCAAGAAGTCGACTGACGTGGTGCTGGTGGTGGACTTCAGTGTGATGGACGGGTTGTGGTTATTCAGGGTAAGTACAAATTGGTCAAATTCTTCCATGGAGTGGGACCAGATCCCCCAGATATCATCCAGATATCTATAATAATGCAGTGGTTTTTTGTTGCAGGTTGCCAGGGCGGAGGTCTCCCATTCAGCCATGAAAATGTTGGCATACGCCGGTGCAAATTTCTTGCCCATAGCCGTGCCTTTTATTTGCAAATAAAATTTGTTGTCAAATTCAAAATCATTCCTCCTCAGGTTAATGGCAAGGAGTTGTAATAATTCCTTATCTGGTCTTTTTTTATCTGGAAATTTTGTGAAAATATTCTTTATGGCCTGAATGCCTTCATCAATGTCAATATTAGTGTATAAGCTGTCGACGTCCATGGTGAACAGGATGGAGTCGGGGGGATTTGGAGTTGTTTGACTGTATTAACAAAATGGTAGGTGTCCTTGAGATAGCCCAAATGTTTATTGGAAAGGGGATTGATGTAGTAATCAATAAATTGGGCCGTATAGTAGGTCTCACTATCACAATCGGAGACAATGGGTCTCCCAGGTGGGATTTCGAATGGAACACTCCATTTTGAGGGTTCTTTATGGATCTTGGGTAACAGGTAAAACAATCTGGGCCGGGGGGATTGGATTACCCAGCAGGTAGGTGTATTGTTTTTTATTTATGAATTTTTTGTCTAATAATGATTGAATAATTGGTTGCACCATTTTTTTAGTTTCAGGGTAGATAGGTTCCTTTAAGACAGAATAATACTTTGTGTCTGTTAGCTGTCTGTTACCCTCAAATAAATATTGTTCCCTGTCCATCAGTACTACTGCACTGCCTTTATCTGCTGGCTTTATGATGATGTTTTTGTTTTCTTTTAGGTCCTTAAGGGCTTCAATTTCATCTTGGTTGAGATTGTTTTTGATTGGGAGTGGCTGGAAATTGTTTTCAAAATAATTAATGTCAGCTTGGATGAGGTCAGTGATATCTGGTGGCAATTTAGAGAGGGGGGGGCTCCAATCAGATTTTTGGGTAAAGGGGGTGAAAATTACATCTTTTTTGTTTTGAAAATAAACATGGAGTTTGATTCTCCTATGATATTGCTGCAGGTCCCATCTGCTTTGCTCAATGATGTTGCTCTGGCTCCCCCTAGTGGGGATGAAAGAGAGGCCCCTGTCCAGGAGAGTGAACTGGGCCTGGGTTAATTTGAATGTCTGTGATAACACCAGTACATTTTTTGACCCCCTCCTGAGAGTGCAGGCTTATGGGGATGAGCATTTTAAATACCCCGTCCAGTGTTCAAACATGTGTTTGGCGGTGGCTTTTGTCCAATGTATGTTATCTGCCCCAGTTTCAAAAGATTTGGAGGGCAGTCTGGGGATGAAGAGGCAGTTTTTTTGAATATGTGCGTTCAGGTGGACCAGGCAGGACTGCTCTTTGAGGGGTAAGTGACGGGAATAATTGATTAAAGGCACCCAAACGGCCGCTTGGGGGAATTTAGCTTCAGCTGCCTCCACTGTGGCTAATAGCTGCTGTGTCAGGATTGTTTTGGATGCAGCGTTTCTGTTGTTTATACCAAAAGAGAGGACCAATTTCTCTAATTTGGTGGAGGTGGTGGCCTTATCAATTAGCGTTTTAGCATGTGCTAATGTCGCTCCTGGGTAGCTGTCAATTTGTAGGTTGGTGCTTTCAAATGGAGGCATTTTGGCCAAGTTAGAGTCTCCAATGAAGGCCCACTCTTTGCCAATGCTGAGGCCCCAATCCTGTATTTTATTCTGTGTGTTAATGTGTTTTGTAGGTCTCCTGGTGTTGGGCATAGGCGCTGGGGTCGGCGCTGTCGGTCTAGGCCGCAGCGTGAGTCTGCTCTGGGTTGCTCTTCTAAGGCTCCTGAATTTAACAGGAGTGGACTGAGCGGTGGAGGCCTCACAAGGGCCTTTATGGGGCTCTCCCCGATCCCCGTCACCTGAGAGGCAGGTGATGGAGTCTGGGCTGTGGACCACACACGGGTTTAAAGGAGCAACTGTCGGTGTCAGCGCGACTGTTAGCGCTGGGGAGGCTGCTGGCACCGGAGCGGCCAACTGCCCCGGAGCAGCCGCCGGCGCTGGAGCGGCAAGCTGCACCGGAGCAGCCTCCGGCCCCGGAGCAGCCCCCGGCACCGGAGCGGCCTCCGACATCGGAGCAGCCTCCGGCACCGGAGCGGCCAGCCGTACAGGAGCAGCAGCCACCGAGGGAGCAGCCGTCGTCGCCGGAGGAGGATTTTCAGGTAAGTTATCATTTTTTTCCTCTCCCTTTGCAGGTAAACATACCGCAGGTGCTAACCTCCGGGCTCTCTGGGGCCTCGGCTGCTGCTGAAAGAAGCCGAGGAGGTCCAGGGAGGCCGCTGGAGGAGGAGGAGGAGGAGGAGGAGGAGGGGGGGCTGGTGTTACTGGTGAGTGGGCCCGTGTTTCCAGTACCTCCAATTCCTTGTTGTCATTGTTGCCGTGGATTTGTGCCTGAACACTGTGTTGTGTTTGTGTTTTTTGTTTATCGAACACAGGTGGCGGAGCTGTGGCAGGGGGTGGTGGCGGGCAGTCAGGCTTACCCCCATCCGTGTCTGGGTCGAGCTGCACGACCATGAGGGCCTCCACCTGCTCCAGGGTCTCAGCCTGGAGTCTCCTACCCAGGTGTCTTTTTGCCCAGGTGGAGGCCACTTGAAAGGGGGCAGGCCAATCACGTTTGGGCAATGCAGATAAGGTGTTAAACTCCTTATCAATGGAGTCAATGTAGTGATCCCTGAGAATAAGGATTGTTGTATATTCCCAGTTTTTGGCATTGCTCTCAATGAGGAGACGGGCCCCCTCACTGGGGCTGGCCGGTTTAATTGTGGTGGCCAAATTAGTTGTTAATTTATGGATTGCTGGGGGGGGCTTATCGGTCGAAACATTTTTCAGGTGGTGGGCCAATGTAATGATTTTTTTCATTATCCTGGCCTTAATTCCAAAATCAGGGTCATCAGACTGTTGTCTGTTTCCATTCCTGTTTCTCTCCCTCTTTTCCCCATGTGTGTTGCTTGTATTCCTCCCTGTGTTGCCTGTGTTTCTCCCTGTTCCCCCTGTATTTCTCCCTGTGTTATCTGTGTTTCTCCCTGTGTTCCATGTGTTTCTCCCTGTGTATCCTGTATTTCTCCCTGTGTTCCATGTATTTCTTCCTGTGTTTCCTGTATTTCTCCCTGTGTTCCATGTGTTTCTCCCTGTGTTTCCTGTATTTCTCCCTGTGTTCCCTGTGTTTCTCCCTGAATTCCATGTGTTTCTCCCTGTGTTCCATGTGTTTCTCCCTGTGTTCCATGTTGTGTTGTGTCTTGCAGGTTGGTTGTACGGGGCCCTGCGGCTTCCCGGATTTTCAAAAAATTGTGGCCTATGGCCATGCTCCGTGGAACGGTAGCGTTGTGGGTAGTCGTCCCTCCGTCCATGTCCTCTGACAACAGAGGCATAGCTGGGACGCTGCCCTGTGGCCTGGTAGCGTTGGCGGGAGCGGTACTGGGCTGAGCGGGGTCTGGGCCTTCCCCCCGGGGGCTGCCTGTAGCGGTCACGCCGGTAGGACACCACCGTCCAACCCTCTTCCCCGTTCTCACCACGCATTATAGGCCGTGGGAAAATAAAAAACAAAAAAATAATAAAAGAAATTATATGTGAATGAAATTTGAACAAGCTTTGAACGACGTTTCGGTCTAAAGATAGACCTTCTTCAGGTTAGCTTGTTCTGTGGTTGTGAAAGTGTTGTAGAGTGAGTGTTCTCTGTCTCTATTCTTCCATGTAGTGTGCTCGAGCTGTGAGAAGCAAGTGGGTTAGGGTTAGGGTTAGGGTTAGGTCTTGGGAAAGAAGACTGTCCCCTGTAGGGAACAGTGGGTGCACTCTCCTTCCACCCTCTTCCTCCCCGGTCCTGAAACGGTTGGCGAGCTCGCCCGCGTCTGCCACCCCGTTGGACCAGGGTCCAATCATCCTCCAGGTAAACAACCATGGAAATGGTTGTTGTTTGTTTGTTGTTGTTTGTTTTATGTATTTAAATTTTTGTTAAAAAATAAAAAATAATTTTTTGTAAAATATAAACTATAATTGTTGTCAAAAATAATAATACTAATGAACTAAGGAAGGTGTGTCCCCAGCAACGTTTCGACTGTAAGTCAGTCTTCTTCAGGCGAATAGGACACACTAATAACTATGCTGGTCAGTAAGGCTGGTGAGCGATGTGAACAGCTCGAGGTAGAAATGAAAAGTGAGCTCCCACTTGGGCTCCTCCTTTTATACCCTCTATTTTTTTCAAAAGAAATTTTGCATTTGGTTTTGTAATTTGTAAAATCCTTCTCCTACTCAAGTTTTTTTAACCCTGTAACTCCCCATTGAAATGAATTATCACATAGCCAATGTATTTTTATAGACTTTTACCTTTTTTAACTTATTTATTCATACTCTCATGATTGTTTGTAAAATTTTTTTTATAATATTATTTTTAATTATATTTTTTTTTTTTTATATTTTTTTTTTTTTTTTTATTTTATTTTTTTTTTTATTTTTTTTTTTTTTTTTTTTTTTTATAAAAAAAATTTTTTATTTTTTTTTTTTTGTTTTTGTTGTTTTTATTTTTAAATTTTTAAAATATAATAAAATTAATTTAATATATTTTAAAAAATAAAAAAAAATTTATTTTTTTTTTTTTTTTATATTTTTTTAAATATTTTGGGGTTTTGGTTTATTTTTTGGTTTGGGGGTTGGGTTAATTTTTTTTTTTTTTTTTTTTTTTTTTTGGGTTTGGTTTGGGTTTGTTTTTTTTTTTTTTTTAAAATTAAAATTTTTTTTTTAATTTTTTTGGGGGGGGTGGGTTTGTTTTGGTTTTGGTGTTAAGAGAGGGGGGGGATTTTCCCGGGCCCGGGCGGGGTGCGGGGGCTCTATCCAGGGCCCATCCTTCCTCAAAAACAAGAAAGCTCTTATTTGAGGTTGAGGCCTTTGGGGTGTAATGTTTCTAATTTTCTTATCCATGTCCTTTCAGCTCGGGTTCTCTGTGTGGCGTTCCAGCTGGGGTCCATCTGGATGATCGTGGCCCGGACAGACGACCATCCATGGGCCAGAAAATGGCTGACCAGAGGCGTGTGGGTTTCCCTCCGCCTCTGGATGTTGTAGCGGTGTTGGGTGAACCGCTGTAAAGAGGGTGTTTTTTGGTCTCGCCCACATACTGTAGGCCGCACATAAGACATGAAATAAGATACACGCAATTTTTGGAGTGTGGATTGCAGGGTGTGGATTGCCAGGGTTAGGGTTAGGGTTAGGATAAGTTATGACACGATGACATGACCCCCTGTACCATCAGTTTGATAGCACAGTTTGGAATAGAGAGCCAAAGGAATGCACTGGCCGGCGCATGTCACTCAGAGTTCTCTCCACTGTGTCCTCCCACCCAATTGGCCACTGCTGCCCCCCGAGTGAGACCAACCCAGGGAAGCAGCAGCATTACCACTCCAGACCCCAACTGTGAGAAGAAATTATAACCCCCTTATTAATACCCACCCCTCCTTCCAGTGACTCAGACTACCAATTAGCCTTCCGCCTAAAGCTCTAGTCCTAAAGTGAATCATCTCCTACTTTTTGGAACACATCGTCAGTAGTGGACCTAGGGATCCTCGGGTGTTCCGGCCATTATCACTGTTGATAAATTCTGTACCAAATCAGGTTAGTATAACTTATTTCTGTTCACACTACAGTTGCCGTGTGATTCAGATCTGTAATTTAATTTATTGCCACAGAATATATCTGGTTACAGTTGCTTGCAGACAGTGATTTTTGATTCTAAATGATCTGTTCACACTACAGTTGCCGTGTGATTCAGATCTAATAAGAGTAAACTGTTCCTAGTCACGTTACAGTTGCCACGTGACTAGGGTTTGTAAATCGGCCTTCCGCCTACACCGCTGGTCCTAGAGTAAATCATACCCTATTTTTTTGAACACATCGTCAGTAGTGGACCTTGGGATCCCAGGGTGTTTCGGCCATTATCACTAGACACCCTCACCCAAGGGAGGCCCCGCCGGGGTGATCAATCCCCAGGGTGTGTCCAGATAAGTACAACTTCAATGAGTATGGATGTGTGTATTAGATATACGCAAGTACTGTATGGATATGTGTATTAGATATACGCAAGTACTACTTCAATAAGTCTGGATATACGTATTAGATATACGCAAGTACAACCTCAATGAGTATGAGTTCTAGATATACGTATTAATATACGCAAATAAAACTTCAATAAATCTAAGTATACGTACCAACATGTTGCCAATGTACCTGCATCCGACAACCGATCAGTTGTGAGGTAGCTCTGGTGGGAGCAATCAGGATTAAATTCTAGGGCACTCTGCCTATCAAATGATATTCCTGTGCCCCATACACCGCACGACCCCAGGAATCCTATTTTACCCATCACTACAGCCTCTTCCTGCGCTCTACCTAAGGGAGACCACAGTCCCCCCCTAACGCGGTGTCTGGTTAAGCCAACCCACCACACCCCGCTAACTCCGCCCCCAACACCTTCCCTCTAAGCCAAAATTCCCTAAAAACTCCAAAACCCACCTGGAAACAACCAAATGTCCTAACCCTCGACCCCCCAAGGTCTAATAACTGCCAAATAAATCCAGACCTCCTCTACCTACTAAATTAAAACGAATTCCCTACCCTAGCCACGCCCCCTTCCCTTTACCTGTACCCCGGGTGAGGTACCCGCTTCCACTAATATACCCAACTTCCTACCACCCCGCCCCCCATTGTAAAAAGTCAATGTTCTACCCCTGCTAAACCCCATAAATGGTCCGAGCCAGCCACCGGTCAAGGCCCCGACTGTTATCAAAGCTAATTTAGGTGTATAAAACTAATATTAAGTTTTAAGGCTAGGTTTAGGGCTAATTTAAGGTTTAACACTAATGTTAGGGTTAGGGTTAAGGTTAGGGTCAGGGCTACTTTAAATGTTTAAGGCTAATTTTAGGATTTAAGGCTAATGTTAGGTTTATTAAGTTAAAGATACATGCCAAGACCAAGACCGATGTTAAGGCCCAGACCGAATATCAAAGAAAGGAAAAAAAGAGAGAGAGAGAGAGAGAGAAAAAAAGAGAGAAGTAGGACCAATCATGGGAAATGGGACTGCATCTCAACCACAATCTTGCCAAACCAGGCAACCCTACACCCCCCACCCCCCACTCCTTTCCCCAAGGGGGACGAGCGGGAGGGGAACTGAAAGACAAGCAAAAGAAGAGCGCACTCAGGAGAGCGAGAAGCGCCACACCACCCCCACCCCCTCCAAGAGGGACGCCCCTATAATAACCCTAAAATTACAACCATAACTCCCATACCAGCCCCGTCATTCCGATAATGCAAGGAAGCATGCCCACCCTTCTGTCTTTAAACGGAATCTAGCAGTTTAGAGAGAAACTCGGTTGTCCGAAGGCACGGGCGGGTTAGGATAAGTTATGACACGATGACTCCCCCTGTACCATCAGTTTGATAGCACAGTTTGGAATAGAGAGCCAAAGGAATGCACTGGCCGGCGCATGTCACTCAGAGTTCTCTCCACTGTGTCCTCCCACCCAATTGGCCACTGCTGCCCCCCCGAGTGAGACCAACCCAGGGAAGCAGCAGCATTACCACTCCAGACCCCAACTGTGAGAAGAAATTATAACCCCCTTATTAATACCCACCCCTCCTTCCAGTGACTCAGACTACCAATTAGCCTTCCGCCTAAAGCTCTAGTCCTAAAGTGAATCATCTCCTACTTTTTGGAACACATCGTCAGTAGTGGACCTAGGGATCCTCGGGTGTTCCGGCCATTATCACTGTTGATAAATTCTGTACCAAATCAGGTTAGTATAACTTATTTCTGTTCACACTACAGTTGCCGTGTGATTCAGATCTGTAATTTAATTTATTGCCACAGAATATATCTGGTTACAGTTGCTTGCAGACAGTGATTTTTGATTCTAAATGATCTGTTCACACTACAGTTGCCGTGTGATTCAGATCTAATAAGAGTAAACTGTTCCTAGTCACGTTACAGTTGCCACGTGACTAGGGTTTGTAAATCGGCCTTCCGCCTACACCGCTGGTCCTAGAGTAAATCATACCCTATTTTTTTGAACACATCGTCAGTAGTGGACCTTGGGATCCCAGGGTGTTTCGGCCATTATCACTAGACACCCTCACCCAAGGGAGGCCCCGCCGGGGGTTGATCAATCCCCAGGGTGTGTCCAGATAAGTACAACTTCAATGAGTATGGATGTGTGTATTAGATATACGCAAGTACTGTATGGATATGTGTATTAGATATACGCAAGTACTACTTCAATAAGTCTGGATATACGTATTAGATATACGCAAGTACAACCTCAATGAGTATGAGTTCTAGATATACGTATTAATATACGCAAATAAAACTTCAATAAATCTAAGTATACGTACCAACATGTTGCCAATGTACCTGCATCCGACAACCGATCAGTTGTGAGGTAGCTCTGGTGGGAGCAATCAGGATTAAATTCTAGGGCACTCTGCCTATCAAATGATATTCCTGTGCCCCATACACCGCACGACCCCAGGAATCCTATTTTACCCATCACTACAGCCTCTTCCTGCGCTCTACCTAAGGGAGACCACAGTCCCCCCTAACGCGGTGTCTGGTTAAGCCAACCCACCACACCCCGCTAACTCCGCCCCCAACACCTTCCCTCTAAGCCAAAATTCCCTAAAAACTCCAAAACCCACCTGGAAACAACCAAATGTCCTAACCCTCGACCCCCCAAGGTCT